TGCGTTGTTCGTCGTGTGTTCGTGCGGTGTTTGCGTTGGGCTGGTTGTTTGCGTGCGTGTGCGTTCATGTACGCGTGCATCGCGGGTGCGTGGGTTTTGCGTGTTGTGCGTGCGTGCAGTTTTGTTGTGCGTGCGTTAGCGCTCCGTGTGCATGACTATGCTGCGTGTACGTGCTCACCGGAGAGGATGCATGTCGCCTCGCTGGCCTTCTCGGGAGCGGCGTACTGCTGCTTTGAGCGGAGATGTCGAGCGCGAGGACGCTCGCGGTCGGGCGAGGGCGGCGGGCGCGGCGGCGGCGCGCCAGGGCGGAGAGCGGCGCCGGGTCGCGGGGCCGCGCGCGGCCGCCGGACTCTGCAACGCACAAAAGACGACAACGCTTGAGCGGTGGCACGCGCAAAACCAAGCACATTCCGGTTTCCTGAAAAAATACAGGGTCACGTGTTGGTTTGACGCCTTAAAACTGCACATTTCTGAAAGCACATTACTTGATATTGGCATACAGATGATTAATATTAAGAAAACTATGGTGCTACAGAAATGACAAGACCTTACCTGTATTAGTTTTGTACTTCCTTTGTCTGAGCTAGCTCCTTCAGACTTGCCATACTCTCGCCAGGTTCATTTATTGTCACCTTAAGTTTGTCACCTTACATTTTTGTTTAAATTTTTAATTTTCGGTTTTTTCTAGTAAGTATAACTTGTGTAAGACCCCCTAGAATGGCATTTTCTTTGAAGCATTTGAGCTCTTATAAATAAAATGGCGTGTAAATGTCTACTGTAAATGCGAAATTCAAGCTCGTTTCCAGAAAAATATGAGTTTTCGAAAAATTCATAGAATCATTCAAGCAACCTTCGCAGTCACAAATTGAATAACATTACCAAATCAATAGAAATTACATACAAACCCATGGAGTTCTTTCAGAAATTAATTATGTAATTTTAGAAAAAAACAAAAAAATCCCAAAATGAACTATACGGCATATTAAAGAGTGCAATTAATCATCGAAAAGTTTTAAAGAAAAAATTGGAGACATTTTTGAGAAAATAGAGTTATAGCGTTCTTGGAAATTCGGAATTTAGACTGTTTCACCAGAAAAAAGAGGATTGTCGACAAACTTGATATGATGTTATTTAAAGCACTAATTCATAAATGTTAATGTGAACAATCAACATACATGTGAATATTATTGGACTAAGAGTACATTTTTAATTGTATATTTTTAAAACAAAAAGAATACCAAAAATATGATGTCTATGTCATCTTATAGAGTTCATTAGCACTATGTCTATCAAATGTTAAGAAAAAATTTGGAGCAGTTTTGAGAAATTCTTGTGCGGAAACTACTACATTTCAACAAAATGTAATTAATCTGAGGAAGAACTACTGTGAAGTTGCAGTCAGTTTGGCTTCTCTTGAGTTAATTTAAATATAGAACATTTAAGTTCAACACAAAAAGCAATATACGGATTATTAGATTATCGTATTATTCGTGAATTCATGAAACCAGAATCAATGCGCAATTTTCTTCCTTCTCCACTATCGGGATGTTACAACTACGACTTAAATCGCAGAAGACTTCCTACCAAGGTTTCGTCATACTTTGCAGTTCCTGAGCTATCTAATGGGGCTTAAAACATGCATGACCAACGTTAATATCCCGGCATACATTTTCGCGATCCATTCCCCACGACCCGACCCAGTTCAATCTCCCCCAACAAGCTCGCGGTTCATAGTACACATCATGCATCCCTCATTGTTCTTCCTACGAGTCTTATACATTCGTAGGAATTTATAATTTTTCATTTCGTAAAGAAGAGAATCCCGTAGAAAACAAAACAAAACTTCAAATATTCTTTCTTCTTCTAAGGGTAATTCCACCGAACTCAGACGACGCACACCCGATCAACTATATTTTTTATAAACAACAATAACTTTGTTTGATAGTTGCAACAGATTATAATTAGCAAAGTTTCAAGCCTTCTCGATATTAATTTTCTGTTTTACAAGCATATATATATTGAATGGATAAAAGGCGATTTTAACATATTTATATTTTGGTTTGCTCATATAATGAGTCAATTTACTTCGAAAACACCACCAAAAATACATTCAACTTGTGAATGAAAATATTTCATAAGAATCGATTGGTGGCATTTTCAGTTTGTAAATTTTCATAATACTAGTCAAAAAATGGCTGTTTTTTTGTAAAATATTAATTTTTTTAATAAAATTGCATGTGGCTCACGGTTGTAGAGGACACTATTTTATATTACTCAATTTCAATAACACATTCTTCTTCGCTAAATCATGGAAAATACTTATTTGAATAGAAATTGAATGAGAATCATTGTGGTGACATTTTCAAACCAATTTTATTACATACTAGTAAAATGGCGAATTTGCGAAAAACGTGTAAGGTATCAATTTTATTGAATTTATTAAAAAAATCCGTTATTAATTTTAGCATTATTAATATTTTGATGCATATTTATATAATTATTTTTGTTCATTAATCAAATACCAAGAATATTTCTTCTTTCGTACTTATGTTTTTTCATTGTATAATTACAGTCGAAGCGAGGACAAACTCATGGAATTTGCGTGTACTGAACTGTAAATGCTTTTCATTGGGTTCAATTTCGAATACTCATCACTTCAGTTTTTCTAACAATATCACACGGAATGTTTTTAATGTGATATACAAAAACTCTAATAATTGGTCAATTTCTGTATCTTATTATCATACATGACTGCGCAAACTTTCCTTGGTTGTCTCTCGTTGAACAAGCATCCCACACCATCGTTCTTCGTTTTCCATGAAGGTGCAAAAATGTCGCAAGTAGCATTCATATTTACAACTTTTTATGCTCACACAAGCGCAAGAAGTTATGATAGTTTTTTATTGTCCCGACATCGTACTGAAATAGTGAAAATGGTTTCCACGTTTATCAGACATTGACCAAGAACATTACTTCTGCTTACATTTAGTAGAAATTATGGAGTACTCAGTGACAGACAAATGAAAATAATGTCATACATTTGTTTTGATAAACTTACTACTACTATAATAATAATAACATAATAATATAATAATAATAATAATAAATAAACCTCAAAATAATAACAACGTGTCGCCAAGCTTAATTGGCGAGCACAAGGGCTATTCTCCAAAGGCTAACAAAAGGCCGAGCACAGGCGTAATGGAAATCTAGCTTTATGAACAGGAAAATACCGTCTATTGGGCGTTGCTCAATATATTTGTTAGGTACTTCGGTATTGCAGTCTTTGGAGTACTATATCAAATAGAGAAGAACAATCACACAATAATTATTGCGCTTATGAAGTTATAATATTAAACTATAAAAAAACAATAACATCAGTAATATATTTTTCCGATTTAAAGGTGTAAAGAAATTAAACCCTACCATGCGCGGGTGATGTGTAATGAAACGGTTAGCGTTCAGACTGTTGTACCACGTTGGGTAACCGATAGAAGCGTGAGAGAAAAATCATTCGTACGCCTTCTTCGGAGGGAAGTAAAAGCGCGTCCCATGTTAGTAATTTACTTGACTGTAAAGAGTCTCAAGCTGATGCGCCGTCTGAGCGCAAATTCAAATCGCATGTTCCGTCGCCAACGAAAATCCTCTCTTATCTCTGCCCTTATGATGTTAGTGAAAAGGAGAGTAGCGGAAAATTTGCGTGGTCAGACGGAAAGACGCAAGGCTCGTGGGCCTGAAGTTTTCGCACGTAAAATAGGCTTAATTCAAAAACAATAACGTATCTGTTATCTTACTCACTATCGCGCGTTCGAGGAGGACTTTTGCACGACAGCCGCATTCTAGCTGGATCCTCTTTCCAACAACTGGAAATGCATTTCTGAGAGCGATTCTTTTTACTACACAGCTTTCGCTCGTAACATTCAATAACGCAACGCCTTTGAAATATATACGATTTGTCGGGAAGAGAAAGCAATACATTACGTCTATAAAATGAATTTTATAAAATAGAATAAAAAACGTCACGAAAGATGTACAAGTGAGATGAAAAGATCATGTACCGTATTACACAGAAATTGCTAGTTAATAGAAGTGAAATTTAATAATATTGCATACGCTTTTTCACGTTATTTTTATTAAATTTTCGGCAATGAATGTTAATACAGATATATACTTTCCAATATTACAATAAGTACATATTTGTAAAAATTACCATGGTGTAACAATCGTCCAAATGTATTAGAAAGTTTACTAAGTATGATTGCAATCTTTTTAACATACAGTATTTTGGGTCAACTCAGAAGTATATCTAAGTCTACAACTTACTCGTGCGTGTGTTCGTGCGTGTGTTCGTGCGTGTGTTCATGCGTGTGTTCGTGCGTGTGTTCGTGCGTGTGTTCGTCCGTGTGTTCGTTCGTGTGTTCGTCCGTGTGTTCGTGCGTGTGTTTGTGCATTTGCGTGCGTGTGCGTTCATGTACGCGTGCATCGCGGGTGCGTGGGTTTGCGTGTGTGCGTGCGTGGCAGTTCGTGTGCGTGCGTTAGCGCTCGCGCGTGTGCATGTACATGCGTGCGTGTGCGTGCTCACCGGAGAGGATGATGTGCGCCTGGCGCTGGCGCTCTCGGAGGCGCGCGTACTGCTGCTTGAGCGCGGAGATGTCGAGCGCGAGGCGCTCGCGGTCGGGGGCGAGGGCGGCGGCGGCGGCGGCGGCGGCCGGCCCGAGGGCGGAGAGCGGCGCCGCGGTCGCGGGCGGGCCCACGCGCGCCGCCGACTCTGCAACGCACAAACACACGACACGCGTGAGCGATGCACGGCCAACAAGCACACTTCCGGTTCCTTGAAAAAAATACAGGGGGTTGGTTTGAGCTGCCTTAAAACTGCACATTCTCTGAAAAGCACATTACTTGATATTGGCATACAGATGATTAATATTTAAGGAAACTAGCGGTGCTACAGAATGACACAGACATTCCTGTATTAGTTTTGTACTTCCTTTGGTCTGAGCTAGCTACTCAGACTTGCCACATACTCTCGCCAGTTGTCATTTTTTGTCACCTAAAGTACATTTTTAGTTGAAATTTTCTTAATTTTTCAGTTTCCTAATAGCATAACCGTGGTATGACCTCCCCCTAAATGGCACTTTTCTTTGAAACATGTTGAGCCTTATTAATAAAATGGCGTGTAAGTGCTACTGTAAATGCGAAATTCCAAGCTCTTTTCACAGAAAAATATTGAGTTTTCGAAAAACTTCATACATAGTCATTTCAAGCACTTCCAGTCACAAATGCAATAATATTTACAAATCAATAGAAATGTACATACAAACCCATGAGAGTTCTTTCAAGAAAATTATATTAATGTAATTTTTAGAAAAAACAAAAAATCCCAAAATAAACTATACGGCATATTAAATAGTGCAATTAATCATCGAAAAGTTTAATGAAAAAATTTGTAGACATTTTTGAGAAAATAGAGTTAGAGCGTTCTTGAAAATTCGGAATTTTGAGCTAGTTTTCACAGAAAACAGAGGAGTTTTCGACAAACTTGATATGATGTTATTTAAAGCACATATATTCTTAAATGTAATGTGAACAAATAACAACTACTGTGAATATTATTGACGTAAGAGACATTTATTGTAATATTTTAAAAACAAAAGAATACAACAATATGATGTCTATGTCATCTTATAGAGTTCATTTAGCACTATGTCTATCAAATGTTTAAAGAAAAAATTTGGAGCCGTTCTTGAGAAAATCTTGTTTTTGTTTTTTTTAATTTCATATATTGCGCGGAAACTACTAAAATTTTTTTAAAAAATTTAAATTATCTGAGTGGAAGAACCTACTGTGAAGTTTGCAGTCAGTTGTCTTCTCTATTGAGGTAATTTAAATAAGAACATTTTAAGTTCAAACACAAAGCAAATATACGCATTGTTTAGATTATCGTATTATTCGTGAATTCATGAAACCAGAATCAATCGGCAATTTCTTCCTTCTCCACTATCGCGGATGTCTTGACAACTACCGATTAAATCGCAGAAGTACATTCCCCCAAGGTTTCGTCATACTTGCAGTACCCTGAAGCTACTACTAATTGGGCTTTAAAACCAGCATGACACGTTAATATTCCCGGTCTACATTTCGGCGTCCATTCTCTAGCGAACCCGACCCAGTTTCAATCTCCCCCAACAACACTCGCGCTTATAGAAACCGATCATGCATCCCTCAATTGTTCTTTCCTAAGAGTTCATACAACTCGTAGGAATTTTATATTTTCATTTCGTAACAAGAGAATCCGTAGACACGCGAAAACAAAAACTTAAATATCTCTTTCTTCTTCTATACGGGTAATTCCACGCGAACTCAGCACGACCGCACACCCGATCAACTCAGATTTTTATAAACGACAATAACTTTGTTTGATATGTTGCAAAGATTTATTTGCCAAAGTTTCAGCCATCTACGATAATTTTCAGTTTTACAAGCAATATATTTTGAATGGATAAAGGCGATTTTAGACATACTTAATTTTGTTTTGCCCATAATGGATCAATTTATCTCGCAAAACACACCAAAATACATTAATTGTGAATGAAAATATTTCAAAGAATCGATTGGTGGCATTTTTAGTTGTAAATTTTTAGTATCTACTAGTCAAAATGGCTGTTTTTTGAAAAAAGTTAATTTTTTTATAAGAAATTAAAAATTGCATGTTGCTCACGGTTGTCGAGATACCTATTTTATTTTAATTATTTCATAACCAATTTCTTTCACTAAAATCATGGAAAAACACATATTTTTGAATAGAAATTGAATGAACAATTATTGTGTGACATTTTCAAACAACTTTATTACATACTGGTAAAATTGGCGAATTCGAGAAAAACGTATAACAAAGTGTAAATTATTTTAATTGAATTTATTCATAAATTATGTTATTTAATTTTAACATGTATTAGATATAACCAACTATATTTGACGGGATATTTATTTTAATTATTTTTGTGAATTAAATCAAATACCAGAGAACAATTTTCTTCAGTACTTATGTTTTTTCATTGTATAACACAGTCCGAGCGAGGGAAAAACTCACGCAAGTTGCGTGTACCTGGAACTGTAAATGCTTTTTCACTTGGGTTACAATTCCAATATTCATCAACTTAAGTTTTTCTAACAATTTCACACTGGATGTTTTAATGTGATTTTTACAAAACTCTAATAATTGGTCAATGTCGGTAATCTGATTACCACACGGACTGCGCAAACTTTCCTTGGTTGTCTCTCGTTGAACAGTAGCACCCACACCATCGTTCTTCGTTTTACCATGAGAGGTGGCAAAAAATGGCCAAGTAGCATTCATATTATACAACTTTTTATGCTCACACAAGCGCAAGAAGTTATGACAGTTTTTATATTGTCCCGGACATCCGTCACTGAAATAGTGAATTGTTTCCACGTTACAGACATTGACCAAGACACATTACTTCTGCCTTACATTTAGTAAGAAATATGGGGTAACTCAGTGACAGACAAATGAAAATAATGTCATACATTTTGTTTTGATAATAATGATAATAATAATAATAATAACAATAATAATAATGAATAAACCTCAAAATAATAACAACAACGATTGTCCAAGCTGTAATTGGGACACAAGGGGCTATTCTCCAAAGGCCTAACAAAACGCCCGGGCACCTTAGGCCGTAATGGAAATCTAGCTTATGAACAGGAAAATACCGTCTTATTGGGCGTTGCTCACATCTTTTGTAGATACTTCCGATATTGCCAGGTCTTTGAGTACTATCATAATAGAGAAAACAATCCACCAATAAAATTATTGCGTACTGAAGTATAATATTAACTATAGTAAAAATAGCAATAACATCAGTAATATATTTTTCCGATTTAAAGGTGTTAAAGAAATTAGAACCCTACATTGCGCGCGGCGATGGTGTAACGGTTATCGTACCGAACTGTTGTACCCAAGTTGGCTGGTTCAACCTGATAGAAGCCGTGGCGAAAAAATCATTCGTACGCCTTCCTTCGGAGGGGAAGTAAAGCCGGTTGTCCCATGTTAGTAAATTTACTTGCATGTAAAAGAGCCTCAATCCTTGATGACGCCTCTGAGCCAAATTCCAATCGCCTGTTCCGTCGCCCAAGAAATACCTCCTTTCTCTGCTAGTTAGTGGAAGGAGCGTAGCGAAATTTGCGTTGTCAGACGGAAGAGCAGGCCTGAGTTTCGCCACGTAAAATAAGGCTTAAATTCAAACATAACGTATCTGTTATCTGCTCCAACTACTCGCCGTTCGAGGAGAACTTGTTGCACGACAGCGCGCATTCTTAGCTGGATCTCTTCCAACAACTTGTGAAATGCATTTCTCGAGAGCGACTTCTTTCTACTACACAACCTGCGCTCGTAACATTCAATAACGCAACGCCTTTGAAATATAAACGATTTGTCGGAAGAGAAAGCATTCCATTACGTCTATAAAATAGCAATTTTATAAAAATAAATAATAAAACGTCAACGAAAGATGTACAAGTGAGATGAAAGATCATTGGTACTGTATTACACACGAAATTGCTAGTTAATAGAAGTAGCTCACTTAAATAATATTACCATAGCTTTTTCACGTATTTTTATTAAATTTTCGGCAATGTAAGTTAATACAGATATATTACTTTCCAATATTAACAATAAGTACATATTTGGAAATCATTACCATGGTTTACAAATCGTCAAATGTATTGGAAATTTTACTAATGTAATGATTGCAATTCCTTCTTAACATACAGTATTTTGGGTAAACTCAGAAGTATAACTAAGCTTCACACTTACTCCTATCGATGGAAATAGCTCAGCAAATTTGTTAATCAATACCTTGAATCACTTAAAACAATGAAAGGTCGGGGTGACGGCGAAAGACGATATCAGGCAAATTATATTTGAGATAAGAAATTGCTGAAAAGTGATACGATAAGCTAGTGGTTGTTTCAATGCCTTCACTATGACAATTGCACTTGTTTGGTTTTTTGGCAAGAATAATTCCTTTTTAGCATGAAAGAAAACAATACATCACTGTCATAAAACACTATGAGGTTGTGCCCTGCGAATACAACAAAAATACTGGAACGTTCTGTAGTGTCAAAGAAACGTTGTTCAAGAAAATTGTACTGCAATATAGACTAGTTTTCAAATTTAAACTGATGCTCAGAATAAATTAAATAAAATATAGTGAATAACCTAGTAATATTTTAACAGTTTCACAAACGGTATCGCGTTCTATGTTTAGGTAACCTATGTTTTCATTGTTCGTAAGATTTAATAGTGACGTAATTACTGATAACAAACGCAACAGTAACGCATTAACCTGCTTTTTGTAAAAACTGCCGAACAATTTTCAACCTTTCCAATTTCACATATATTTTTTAACAATTTTGTTTTACTAAAATATAAGATATAATGACTAGTTCAAATATTCTGTTGTTCACCTTAAACGAAGTGTCCTCTTTTTCCTGATTATTTTGCACTTTCTGACACACAACCATTAAGGTTCCATTATAATCACAAATACCCGTTAAATCAGCTTATTCCATGATTTAAAAAGTATTTTGCTATCAATTGTAAAACATGCACTGTCTTTTCAAAAAATCGTTTTCAATTGACACCATCTCATATTTTTTTATATCAAAACAGTTATGTAACATAAAATTTTCGTAGAGTCCATTTTTTGTGACTTTGCAACCATCCTGTCTCTTTAAAGGCATCCTGGCTCTTTAAATATAGAACAAATGCTTTTCGGGGGAGGGGAATCTGAAAAAATCAATTAAAACTGGTGCAATTGACAGCGTTGAACCATAAAATGAACTGGGATCAATGTTGTAATTTAATTGTTTTTAATTACTTGAAGATGATTTGTCACTGGGAGTCTATTAAAGGTACTAATAATAATAATAATAATAATAACAATAACTATTTTATATTAAAGGACGGAAATAACGTATTAAATACATTAAGATACACAGAACTAAATTCATTTAAAGACACAGAACACTTCCATCGGATTCTGAACAACCCATCGCCTAGCACCAGAGCGCGAACGCTCCCCACCGCCCGGGTTGCAGGCTTTAAATTACGACCACTACATCCACATATGGCGCCAACAGCGGATTAACGTCACATTTGCTCGGCTTCTCTGTCACTCATTACATTACCTGCTTCATCTTCGTTATTCCCCATCTCATTTCCGTCGTCATCAGCTTTATCCTGATCACTCCTCAACATATTTACAGAGAGAGAGTCGATGACGTCCAAGTTGAAAGTCTGACAGCGGAATAAATAGCATCTATTTCGTCTCCATATAATTTAAGCCGTAAGATGTGTTGTCAACGAATTATTAAAGCGTGTTGTGGCTTTGAATATTTTAAAATAAACAGCTGGTTCAATATCACTGTACATCGCTTTGGAAACATTTTATTTTAATTTTAAAAAAATCATTTATTTAATAAGGGCATTTCGGTTCATTTTAAATGGTTTGCATCGTAATGAAGAAAATATATCATATTTAAAACTTTTTTTCGTGGATCGTAATGTTAGCATTCCTGCAAGCGATGTTTCCACGTCCCCAATTTCTACTTTTCGTACAGGCGAGAGAGCGCAACGAATAGCTCCGGGAGATCTATCACATTCTGGACACAGCAACCGACCACTGCCGCCGGCCGCAGCCGTCGCTGCCAACCCCCTCCCGCGACCTCAACGTCCTCGTAATTAACGAGAGTTCTTCCCACTTCTGGTCTGTCCGCTCGGGGGAGGGAGAAGTGAAGAGGCCTGTGGAACGGGAGAAGGGCGGGGGACCGGGACTCTGAGCTGCCGGGCACAAAAAAGAAGAAGAAAAGAAAGAAGAAAACGAACACTCGAATTTCGCGATGAAACTCTTTTTTCTTGCTGCGACCGTAGAGTCCGCTGGGCTACGGCGGTGAGACCAAAAGACCCACGGAAGCCATTGGGAACGTGCAGGGTTTGGTCGGCGAACAGGTTCGTAACAGGTGGGGGGCAGGAAACGCTCTTAAGGTGAAAGTGGCGGGGGCGAAGGGTGAGGGAGGCTATAACGTAAGATAGCCTGCGCTAATGGACTCTACCTGCCCACGCTGATGGGCAACATAAGACACCGAATGACGTTCGTGACAATTCGTTTCTAGTCATGACGCGTTCATGTGATGATATGAAGAAAACGTAAAACCCTAAAGCAATCAGTTTCTGAAAGGTTTATTTGAATGGTTTTGAAACGCAATAAACGATGACTACTTTTCACTAAAATGGAAAAAAAACTCTTTTAAATATATTATCTTGTAAATGTACGTTTGACAGAAAAAGGAGTTCGGTACAGATGATTTTTCCCCTAGTAATTGTCTACATCTGTAGAAAAGTGTTTCCCATGTTCTCGTGTTATGAAACCGAATTTTATGAGGGTTTATTAAAATGTTACTTTTTAACTATTTATATTAATTTTCAAACTTTTTTTACAATTCTAAAATAGAATTTTAAACAATAAATTGAGAATATAATCAAATACCAACGCAGCAAAATTAATCCATTTTTATTCCTTACTCTCTAAAACGTCATGAAAAGCTTTGCATGTTTATGGTTGGTCATCCCACAACTGAATACGCTTTCTGCTAATTAAATGCAACAGCTTCCAAGTAAAACATATGAACTAATTATACTTAAAATGCATTTCCTGACAAGTATAACACCTGATTATAATCATCCAAGCCATAACGTGGAGAGTTAATTAGCCATTAGAGAGAGAAGCAGCCTTGGGCTCAAAGGTCAGTTCCCACATAATGGATGAGATGCATTACTTGCTAGCGGCCCTACCCAGATTCGATTCTCTCGTCGACGGGTCTCCAGCCCGTCGACCGCATCGCAGGAATGTTTGCCTCGCATCGAAATACGCTGATTACCTCGCGACGCGTCGACTAGCAGCGGAGCTGCAGTGACATCGCACCGTGATTAAATTTCCGAAATCGGGAATGAAAACCAGAATATATCGATTCAATAGCTATTAAAACACAATACCTCTCATTGCCCGCTAACTCACCAATTCTCCCGGTTTAGTGTTTTCTTGACGTAGTATCATTTCAGCTTATTTCGTACAGTTGTACTAATAACTCTTTGGTTAAATTAGCCATTACTTTTGTAATTAATTGACATAATATTTCATTGTTTCATTACATGATTATTTAATGCTTATTGACGCTTAGCACAAAATTATACAGAAAATGATAAGTGTAGAAAAATGTCATTTTTACTTACTGTTTTAACACATAGTTTCTTCCAAAGTTTAGATGGATATGATACTAACGATGTGATTGTGTGTATGTTGGAAATATTAGACATGAACCCAGAATTATTAACCAAACTATGTAGTTTCGTAAAGCATTTACTTGCGGTAATGGAGGACTCCATCGCAAAGCATTACTTTTGACGTTCGCATAGGACCTGCATTACCCGAATGTGCGCCCACCGTAATGTAAGCAGGAGTCTCGGGGTTCGGGGAAATGCTACGGCGTCATCAGCGTTCCAGAGATATCGATCAAAACAGGCAGATTTCCCCCTGGCGCCGAGCCAAAACCAATACGGACGCCAGCGACATTGCGAAAAACACTGACCTACTTGTTGAAGCTGCCTAATGGTTTCACGCATAACCCAATGTTCAGTTCCAAACTGGATTATTTTAGCGGCTTTCAACGCTGAAGCAGTCATTTTCCACACGATATTTCTTTATGTCACGTAGACTAAGCAACATTTTACAACGATCACTTTCAACTACATTTTTTAGGATTCTTTAAGAAATAATTATTTCCTTCTGTTGAACAATTAGAATTTGTAAATTTAATAACCATGCAAAACATTCAATAAAACCGCTAATAATTTACGGTTTAATTAAAACAGAAACACTTGCATGAAGGCCGTTTCGTGATCTACTACTATGAGCATTCCCCAAAACACTCACCTGTTTTAGAATGATGAAAATCAGCAACCCGAAAGCATCCTCACATTGATAACGCGGCGCGCGATTGAAATGCAACACGCATCCGCATACAAGGTCACGTCTGCCCCGAACGCTCGTCTTCGCTAGCCGCGGCGAACAGGTAGGTGCAGCGCCGCCGGAGTACTGACGCGGGTCACGGACATAAAATATTTACGCACACATTCGTACGAGGAGCCAGCGGGAACGCGGGGCGGGGAGGGGCGCGGGCACGTCGATAACCGGTCCGTGGACCGAAAACTCTAGCAACAGACGAACATCCTGTTTCTAGGGTGTGTCAGAGTTACTGTCTCGAAAAAAAGAAGAAACGTATTTCCTGTAAAATGTAGCAAGGAAAAAGAATTTTCGGTTTCAGCAATAAAAAAAACATAGCCTTGTAAATATACTGAACATAAATAGAAGAATGTATAAGAGAATTCTGTATTATTCAATGCCATTTAATTTGTAGGATCAAAGATATGTTACGAGAAACTTTTAGACCACATTACTGCGACACTTTTGCCTTAAGAATATCACAAAACTGTAAAATTATATTAAAGTTAACTGCCGGAAACAAAATATGTTTTGTAAACTAAATATGAGCTTACACGGAACACTGTCATTTCCTTCCCAAACAGATTAATTGATAATAAACAGATATTATACGATGACATGGAATAACTTCAATTTGAATTTATCTTAACACGCCTGTCATTAATCAAACACAATTACTCACATCTTAATTGATTGTAAGTGGTTAAAACAAAAAGAAATAATAATTCGAAGATGTAATAAAACCGTTCCCAAATTCAACGCAAAAGCTGAAAAAACTACAATAATTCCTTAAAATAACGAAATGTTAACGCAATAAGTGAACAAAACAAAAAAGTGACATCGCAACTCCTTAGGCAGAACCTTTGTTTGCACAGTTTCATCGAACATCCGAATGTACACACACGACGCATTTCTCGGCGTTCGTCCACGAAGACTGACAGACGTTAGCCATTGCGCAGGCACCCCAAGAAGCCACGACACCACGCAACCCAAGCCAAAAACACACACAGAAAAACAACATCAAAACGCGCGAAAACAAACAAAGCAGTCCATCCGGCGTGTGACAACGCCCCAGACAGCAGCCTACCTTGTCCACTCGCCCCGAACATGTCACCGCGTGCACACACACACACGACACTCACTACTCTACCGTTGCACACGCGACCGCACGGCGCGCCGCGTCAGCTGAGCGGCCCGTGGGGGCGTGAAGAGGGG